ACACAAAATAGTAAGTGGATGGGAGCTCAGAGAATTGTTAAATTGCTCAGGCAAGGAAGTGAAAGAAGTGAGAAGGATATACAGCCACTGTAGTGCAGCTGACAATCCTAGGTGAACAGAGAAGCCAGCAGCACGTGTGAAATGGAATCACAGATCTAGCAGAACACTGCATCAAGGAGCTAAGAATTTCAAAAAAAAGAAATCTGCAGGCTAGACCATAACAGAGCCTTCAGAAGCATCTCAACCTTTCTATTTTCAGAATCTTGGAATGAAGAAACATCTTCAAAAGGTAGTGAGAGGTTTGTTTAAGATGGAGACTGCAGGATCAATTACAGGAATAGACCACTTTTTACAGCAGATTCACACATGTGCGGTGCAGATTGAAACTCAGGTTTCACAGCTAATTGATACAGTAGTTGTTCAGCGGTTCATGTCAGGTTTACATCAGATTCAGGGCAGGATTAGGTCAGGATTTGATCCGGTTTACACGTGAGGTTTAGAAATGGTCCCCACAGAAGTCAATAGCCCATAATCCGCACCTGAACTAGAACACACTGCTCAAAAATCAGATAAGACTCTTTTTCAAATTGTATTGCACACACATGGAATCTGCACCGCCAGTGCACCGGACATATGCAAATAGGCACCATAGGAAGTACAGTAATACCTCGGTTTAAGAATTTAATTAGTTCTGCAGGACTTTTCTAATAGCGAAAAATTCTTAAACCGAAATGCCGTTTCCCATAGGAATGCATTGAAAACCAATTAATCTGTTCCAGAGATCAGAAAAAAGTAAACACTAATAAATCCCGCATGAGTTATTTTATCAAGTCATGCAGCATTTTAGTAGTGACAACCATGTGTTAATATTTCAGCTGTCAGCAGGGTTCCCCACTGACAGCTGAATGTAAAAGAATTGCCGGCAATTAAAAAAAATAATTTAAAAAAAATGCATGGGGTCCCCCTTCCCATCCATACCAAGCCCTTCGTGTCTGGTATGGATTTTGAGGGGAAATCCCACACCAAAATTTAAAGCAAAATCCTCCCCAAAATCCATACCAGACCCTTTTCAGAGCATGCAGCCTGGCAGCTCGGGAAAGCGGGTGGGGGGGGACGCAAACAATGTTTCTTTTTAGTTTCTTAAAAGAAACATTTCTGTTAACATTGGGGAAAGTGTGTCATGGAAATTTTCTATTTACAGGTTGAACTTTAAATGCGTCATATATTAGTGTTATTCATGTCTCTCGTCTGGCTGCAATTAGGCCATGCGCATGTACAATGTATATATATTACAGTACTCAGCTCGGTAATGGATGAGATGGCAGATCTGCGCTTATAGATCGGCGTGTATGCCACCACGGCGGTAGGCTGTGGGCCTGTATCCACATATCAGCAGCATAGTACCACATGGACTTCGTATGGCCAGGCGCCGGGCAGTGCGAACTCCGCGTGTAGGCTAATGTATATCTCTACAAGCCACTACCGACCTGAACTGTATCTGGATGGATGTTTTAATAAAGATCGTATCGGGCCCATTCAGATACAGACTGGCACTGTTTAATCTAAGGGATGCTTGTACAGACAATGTACATACTACTAGGAGCTGATAGCATGTAAATGATGGGAAAGAAAGTTCACCAGGGGGAGGGGGGAGGACTGGTTTAACTGGTTTTCAGTATAGATAAGAGGAAACGCTACACTCCAAACAGGATGTACATTCTCATGTATGGACACCCCCTATACATTGTTCTGTGGGAGGGGATTGACCTGACCCCCGTGGGGGGGGGGGGGGGGTTTTTTTTTTTTGTAAGTGAATAAAACAGGAGTCCAGGGTTAGAGCCGGACAGGGAGTGAATTCCAACTCCAACCTGAGAGTGTCGCCTGATCATTCCTGGGTCACGGGAGCTCCATTTTTCCCCACATCTCAACAGAGCTAAAAACCTTTGCATACCAGTTGGAGGCGCAGGAATCGTGGGGCTAAGCTAGAGTCGCGGTAAGTGGAGGGCGCAATACGGCTGCAGCAAAGTTCGCACAGCTTTACGGGGGATTGCTGCGCATCCAACTGCGGACTACTCACGGTAAGGAAAAAATTCGTTGAAAGCAAATTTCCAAGACAAGTGACAGCTAATTCTGTGAGCTATAGTGAAGAAAAAAAAAAAAAAAAGAGCCAGCTATTGCATTTAAAAATCAGCACTGACATACACTTCGTATTGCGAAAAAAATTCATACAAAATTTGTAAACCAAGGCATTATTTTCAGTGGATTTTCATTTGTAAACCGAAAATTACTTTAACCGAGGCGTTCTTAAACCGAGGTATTACTGTAATGTTATTTCACGTCATGTGGATTGGATGCGGTTCAAACCGCATACAATCCTCATATATGAAGTGGCACTTAGTGAAGTCTTCAACTAGATAGAATTCAGCAAAACATTTTTGGAGGAGTGAAAACGTTTTTGGAGTGATCCAAATCTTTAACTATTGCTCATTCTATTTGTTTATGAATAGGGAATGTCCTTTTTTTTCAGGTCTCTATGCCAAAAGAGGCCTGGTGAGATGGAGGAAAATCAAGAATTACAATGCCAAGATTTCTGCGTATGAAAGAAGTGGTTTTGTGCAGGACTTCAGCAGAGAAAGTCTTCACCTGAGATTTAGCCGTGGCTCCCATTCGCCTGGGTTTTGTCATAGCAAAGGGTGAGGAAGATGCCCTGGAGGTACTCGCAGGGTAGGATGTACAATACAGGGCATGTCTGGAAGGAGTACACAGCAACCAGGGTGGAGACCGTCCTGTTATTGATTCTTGTGGCGGGTGTAAGTACCTTATAAAGGTCTTTAGGCAGAAGTGGTCATAAAATGTGCGACCAGTGGTGTGATGTAACACCTAGTCATCTACCTGAGACGGAGCTCCAAGTGGATGAACTTTTAGCACCAAGTTTGAAAAGTATACACTGTAAACTGAATACATAGCCCCAGCTTACAAAGGTACAGATTGACCCTGTATTACCTGCCCAGGACAGTGAGCTGTATATTAAAGTCAAGGCTGCAGTCCTGAAGTCTACTTTTATTTGCAGGGGTAACGCTGGCTATCTTTGGTGCCTCCTTGTTTCCGTGGGCAGATGTTCAAGCACTTTTGTGCCTATAGGGGGATTCTGACACTTTGTTTCCATCACTGGAGAATTGAGCCTGCAGCTACCATTCCCCTGAATGGCTATATATCCCCTGGTGTGAGTTCCAGCTGCCCTGCAAGTGTCCAAGCTGGTGGCAGTGGCGGTCCAGTACATCTGAACATGTGTAAGTTTCTCATTTGGCCAGCGCAGTTTGGAAGCCCCAGGCCAGGGTGATGTCACCTGCTGGCTAGGGAGACCAGCCAGTGTAGTTTTCTTCCACCAGGAACGGGAGAGATATGAGCACAAAAGAGAAAACAGTGACTGCATCTATGAGGACACATACCATGCACGGATTGGCAGGTTCCTCCTTTCCCCTGGCTTTTATATGGTAGTGATTATTTCAAATCCCTGGCTGACAGCAGGCGATCATTGTGGGATATATTTGATACTTCAAATGCTCTGTATTCCCAGTATAGGTTTTTATTTTTTTCCCTCCTTTTTACAGTTTGTACCATAAACAGCCTATATCACAAAGCTGGATATAAGAGTTGTCTTTTGAACGTATGCCTAGTGGATCCTTCTGGAACTGGACCAGTTATTCTTTGCTGAAAACTGAATTAGACACAATATATATTTGTGCTTTTCCATCCATATCAGGGATGCGCAAATCGTATCGACCAACGGCAGGGACATGCAGTTCCCAGTGCCGTGCAGGTATTTTATTGTTTTTACATTCAGCCTGGGTTCACACATATTCCTGGGAAATCAAAATGAGATTTAGGCATGCATTTCTTTGTGAATACTATTCAGATTTCTTTGTGATTTCAGTACAGGTGAGATTTTACCAGCTCTCTCTCCACAACTGCCTTCCATTAACTTCATTGCAAAATCACCTACCATTGACTTCGATAATGCAAAAATGCCTGTCAATCGCAAACCGTAAGTGAGCACTTACCTGCGCATGCCACTCTATCACTTGTGAGTCTGGAAAGCAAACCCTTTTTTGAACTGCACTCAAAATGCAATGCCTGTGGATCGCATCAGTGTGAACCACCTCAATAGCAACACATAATATCTAGCCTGTCATGCGAATCTGTGCATTTGAAAACGCATTCAGAGTTGCATATATGTGAACCAGGGCTCAGTCCTGCTGCGGACAAGCAGCAGGGTTTCCCCTTTATTTTTTTTTATTTTTATTGGCAATTACTCTCATTAAAATTGCCATCAACTGTTTTAGATTCAGTTTAAAGGATAAAGCACGCTTTAAAAAAAATAAACGCACGCGTTTTGCAGGTTAAAAAAAAAAGTGCATTTATTTATTTTTTGGAGCCTGTAAAACATTGCACTAGCAATCAGCAGATCGACGGTGTCATGCAGGTCTCCAGCAGACTTGTCAGTTTAATCTGTGTGCCTTGTACCTTGTATGAGCAGACAGTTTTAGCACTGACAGGAAGACTCAATGAACTACTAAAGAGCTCCACAGCACCATGGGAGTTCATTGAGAACTACAAGATGATATCTGCAAAGGAGGTGGGGGGGAACTGGGCAGCAGCGGGAACAAGTTACATGTTCCAAACTAAAAATTTAACCAAACATGTCCATGGACATAAATGGCCTCATGAGGTTGCATCTGTTATTTTTTTTATATATATATATATATATATATATATATATATATATATATATATATACATACATACACATACATACACACACACACATACATATATATATATATATATATATATATATATATATATATATATATATATATATATATATATATATAAGCTACAATTCAAAAATATGTTCTGTTTGAGATCACTATCTGCTGGCGTTGTTTGATTGCCTTAACCACTTCCCGACCGGCCGTTGTATATAAACGGCCGGACGGTGGCACTGCAGGGTCGGGTGGCCGTCTAAAAACGGCCTCCCCGCACCCCGCTTGTGCGCGCTCCCTGGGAGCGCGCAGCACCGCGATCCGGTGCCCGCTGTGTCCTCTGTACGAGGTCCCGATCATGTGATCACTGATTGGCCAATCAGTGATCACATGCAAAGTAGTAAGCAAGATGTCACTTCTGACATCATTGCTTACTATGTGTGAAATCTGTGAATGATCACAGAGGTCACATGGTACAAGGCTATTCACAAAAGCCTTGTACCATGTGACAAGCTGTGACCAATCACAGCTCACTCAGTTCTTCTCAATGAGTGCAAGAATGCACACAGAGAGAAAGAGAAATGATTGCTTTTACATCCTATATGGGTGTAAAAGCAATCAGTGTAAATAAAAAAAAAATAATCTTCATCACCCCTCACAAGTAGTACAGTGTCACCATGGTGACACTGTACTGCTAGGGTGACAGTATGTAAAAAAAAATAAAAAATATAAAAAAATAAAATATCTATCTCAAAAAAATGGTAAAAAATTAAATTTGGGTACAGTGTTGCATGACCGCGCAATTGTCATTCAAAGTGTGATAGCGCTAAAAGCTGAAAATTGCCCTGGTCAGGAAGGGGGAAAAAGTGTCCGGTCTAAAAGTGGTTAAAATATTTTAGGTCTGTTTCCTAAGTTGCTATCAATAAAGACCTTATTGAAATATAGCTTTGGTTAAACATTTTTTTTTATCAGACCAATGAGGGACAAGTAGACTGGGGCCTCGATTTAGTGCCTTGGACAAAATTTTTCCACAGCCCTGCATATATTTGAATGGTAAGCACTTTATATTATTTATATGTGAGAATGGAGTAGTACTTTTTGTCTAGTAGCCTTCTACTAACTTTTTGGCTCCAGATTACACATTACAATGTGCACACATGAGGCACGTGTGTCTGTACATTTGTTTCAGCATCTGGTGTACATTTTATTTTTTTATTTATTTTAATTTGTTTACCCAGGGAACATGCAGTGCATCCAGAAAGTATTCACAGCGCTTAACTTGCCACATTTTGTTATGTTGCAGCCTTATTCCAAAATTGATTAAATTAATGTTTTCCTCAACATTCTACAAACAATACCCTATAATGACAATGTGAACGAAGTTAGTTTTGAAATCTTTTCAATTTATTTAAAAAAAAAAAAAATGAAAAAAAAACCCCAAATATACATAAGTATTCACAGCCTGTGCCATGACACTCAAAATTGAGCTCTGGTGCATCCTGTTCCCACTGATCATCCTTGAGATGTTTCCACAACTTGATTGGAGTTTACTTGTGGGAAATTCAGTTGATTGGACATGATTAGGAAAGGCATAAACCTGTCTATATAAGGTCCCACAGTTAACAGTGCATGTCAGAGCACAAACCAAGCCAGGAAGTCCAAGGAATTGTCCACAGACCTCCGAGATAGGATTGTATCAAGCACAGATCTGGGGAAGGGTACAGAAAAATTTCTGCAGCATTGAAGGTCCCGAAGAGCACAGTGGCCTCCATCATCCATAAATGGAAGAAGTTTGGAACCACCAGGAATCTTCCTAGAGCGGGCCGCCCGACCAACATAAATGAGCGATGGAGAAGGGCCTTAGCCAGGGAAGTAAATAAGCAACTAATGGTCACTCTGAAAGAGCTCCAGCCTTTCTCTGTGGAGAGAGGAGAACCTTCCAGAAGAAAAACCATCTCTGCAGTACTCCACCAATCAGGCCTGTATGGTAGACTGGCCAGACGGAAGCCACCCCTCAGTAAAAGGCAAATGGCAGTCCACTCGAAGTTTGCCGAAAGGCACATGAGGGAATGTCAGACCATGAGAAAAAAAACTCTCTGGTCTGATGAAACAAAGATTGAACTCTTTGGCCTGAATGCCAAGCGTTATGTCTGAAGGAAACCAGGCACCACTCACCACCTGGCCAATACCATCCCTACAGTGAGGCATGGTGGTGGTAGCATCATGCTGTTTGGATGAACTAGGAGACTAGTCAGGATTGAAGAAAAGATGAATGCAGCAAGGTACAGAGACATCCTTGATGAAAACCTGTTCCAGAACGCTCTGGACCTTAGACTGGGGTGACCGTTCATCTTTCAACAGGACAACGACCCCAAGCACACAGCCCACATAACAAATGGAGTGGCTATGGGCCAACTCTGTGAATGTCCTGGAGTGGCCCAGCTAGAGCCCAGACTTGAACCCGATTGTATATCTCTGGAGCGATCTGAAAATGGCTGTGCACTGACGCTCTGCATCCAGCCAGATGGAGTTTGAGAGGTACTGCAAAGAAGAATGGGAGAAATTGCCCAAAAATAGGTGTGCCAAGCTTGTAACATCACACTAAAAACAACTTGAGGATGTAATTGGTGCTAAAGGTGCTTCAACAAAGTATTGAACAAAGGCTGTGAATACTTATGTACATGTGTTTTTATCGTTTATTTTTAATAAATTGCAAAGATTTAAAAACAAACTTCTTCACATTGTCATTATGGCGTATTGTTTGTAGAATATTGAGGAAAAAAAATGAATTTAATCCATTTTGGAATAAGGCTGTAACATAACAAAATGTGGCAAAAGTTATGTGCTGTGAATACTTTCTGGATGCACTGTGTTTGTACTGCTGCCAGCTGCTTCCCTTCCCTCTAATTTATGTCAAGCGACCTCTCCTTGGTTTGCATGGGGATATAATTTTATTATAGACCTCCGTCATCAAGTGGGTACAGATTCCTTTAGGATTAGTTTGTAAGCCCCTATGGATTCATTGTTATGAACAGCTTGTTTTTGGTCTATGTATGGAATAGACCAAAATTAAGCCAGTTGAGCAGGGACTGGACGAATTTTGATCCATGCATGAGCACCCTGGTTGTACACAAGTCAATCTATAGACTGACTTGAATACAATAAGCCTATTGGGTTTTTGCATAATGATTAATAATCATCATTGTGTTCTACATGGTGGAAGGAAAGAAAATTGCATAATTTATGGCCTTAGACCAATTTGCTTATCTTCCCCCACACCTGTCCCCTTGGAGCCCATTTAACCACTAGCCTACAGGGCACTTATACCCCCTTCCTGCCCAGGCCAATTTCCAGCGCTTTCACACTTTGAATGACAATTGCACGGTCATGCAACACTGTACCCATATAAAAATCTTTTAATTTTTTTGTTACAGAGCTTTATTTTGGTGGTAGTTAATCACCTCTGGTTTTTTTTATTTTTCTTAAACAAACCAAAAACCACTGAAAATTTTGAAGAAAAAAAAAAAAGTTTTTAGTTTTTGTTATAAAATGTTGTAAATAAGTGATTTTTCTCCTTTACTGATGTGCGCTAATGAGGCTGTAGTGATGGACACTGATAGGTGGCACTGATGGGCATTGACAGGCATCACTGATGGGCACTGAAAGGCAGCACTCATATATGGCACTGATAGGCAGCACTTACTGCCATTGATAGGTGGCACTGAAAGGCAGCTCACTGATATGTGGCATTGATGTGCACTGTTAGGCACTGAAATGTGGCACTGACAGGTGGCACTGCTGGGGCTACACTGATCATCAGGACACACTGATCATCAGTGCTCAGATGATCAGTGTAGATGTCCCCTCCGAGGAATGCGATTACCGGCTCTCCTCTCGAGCTGGCAGCATGACAGCTCATGAGGAGAGAAATGCCGATAACCGGCATTTCCCTGTTTACACGTGATCAGCTGTGATTGGACACAGCTGATCACAACGGAGCCGATATCTTCGGCTTTCCATAGATCGGTGATCCTCTGAGGTCCGAGGGACAGCGCACCACCGATCGCCGCTGTGCGCGCCCCCGGCGCCGCGCATGTGCAGTTAGAGTGGGAGGACATCATATGGTGTCCTCCCAGAACGAGATAACCACCTTGTGCCAGTCATACTATATGGCGGGCGGGAGGTGGTTAAGGTGTTGTGGCTCCCTGGTGTGTGAACTCCTGTAATGTATGGATGGCAAGCTTTGCAATGAAACATTTTTGTATACCTTGTATATTTTGATGTCTGTAATTATTGTTTGCCATTTTTAAGATTTTGTTTATTTCGCCTGATGAAGCGGGTTTCCCAACGAAACACGCTTGTATTTTCTTCAGCTAGTAGAATAGTGATTACATGTTCAATATATACATAATCTGTGGTTATATAGAACTGATGTTGAGTTTCCTCTTGGGGAAGGTCAAAATGGCAAAATGACTCTTATTCAAATACCTGCAATAGGCAGGATTACAATATTTTTCTGGCATTTCCCAAATGTATTTTTATTACAATTTTGTTAAACTTGTAATTTTTAATTCACAGTTGTCGTTTCTTGGGTACCTTAAAAATCCACTTCCTTTTTCTGTTTCTACTCTCACCTTAGAATGTGGTCCCCCTTTGACAGCCCAATGTGAAGATTAAAGTCAAAGCTTCACTTGTTACAAATGTGCTTACCCACAAAGGGGTATTCAGGGTCTGAGTTCCATAGTAATTGAATACGGCCTTGGATCTGAATAGAGCCCAGCAGCTGACTAGAACACGTTGCACTAAGTGCCAAGGTGAGTACCTGTGTAGAATCCAGTGCCCAAAGCAACATTGCAAGTGATTCTCACAACATGGGGTCCAGGTAAAGTTCAAGGTTTTACTGAGACTGACTCAATCCAAATGCATTGCTTCTATTTTTTATTAGAATGCAGTAAAGGAGATGATTGAAAAGTTGAATAATGTAAGCTAAGAGTGATTTCTCCACAAGGGAGAAGAGGTCCATCACCTTAATGGCAGCAAAAACTGAAGACTCACGGAGTGGGGTAGGGTTTCAGGGGAGACTCCCAAAAGGCGTGTCCTCTAACGCTTTGCCAGAATCCAATCACCAAAAGGTACGAGCCCATAACCCAGGGTTGATGAATATTTGTCTGTATGCTGTAGTGTACAATTAAGAAAGATCAATGTGACCAATAATTCTTTACTGCAGATGTAATCTTACTGAGGCAAGACCAATCTGAGGGCTAGTGGTAGAATCCCACTGCTGCTAGTGCATACTCTGTTCAGTTAAACTAGGCTGGAGGCAGAATCCACCAGCGACACATGACAAAGTGAAACTTATGATTATTATTAGGCTTCACTGAGCTTAAAAAAAAAAAAAAATGTTGCTTATACAGGGCTTTTTTTTTTTTTTGTACCCTATGTGGCCACAGGCTTTTACAGATGTACACTCTATTGCCAAAAGTATTGGGATGCCTGCCTTTACACGTATATGAGCCTAAATGGCATCGCAGTCT